GTCTTCTAGAACTGTTGTTCTACCCTGAACAGAATTCAAAGGAAACTGCAAGGTATCCATGTACTTACTAGAACACTGAAGCAATATAATATACTCTTTTGCAAAACAAGTTATTAATCCAAACTCAGCAAACTTGTAGTGTAATATAGTAGCAAACAAAAAGATAAAAGAAGAACAAGAAGCAAATCTCAAAGTCTCTAGGTCTACAATTACAACAGATAACGAAGAACTCAGTGTTGTAAAAGGCTCTGGGAAAGTTTCTATATAGAGTGGTCTGTACTATGTGTACCAGCTTTACAGTTTTAAATACAAGGGTTTTCAAGCAAAATTTCTGTGGTAAGCTAAGAAATAGAAGGCTTGCGATTTAGAAACATACATGCTGAGAACAGCCAGTTAAAAAAAAAGACAAGAAAAAAATGCCAATGGTTTTAGTGAAAGCTCAAGCAAAAACAGGATCATTAAAATCACTCGTCCTCTGAAAGGAAGGCAAATGAAAAATTAGCCACAAGTTTATTTTTAAATCAGATTTTTAACCACACTTGCCACTGATTTCAAGGCAAATTACACACTTGTGTGTGTGTGTGTGTGTGTGTGTGTGTTGTGATTATATTTTTACACTATAATTGGAGTGGAGTTATCCTATGGAAGCATCCTATATAGTATAACTCAGGGTTTTCCAGTCTGTGGTCCACAGAACCATATGCATGAGGACCTGATGGGCTTCTGTGAGAGACTAAAGACAAAAAAAAGTTAATTTGAATGCAGTGAATGTTGCATTGCTTAGAGCTTTCAGTTTTGATCAAGGATATCAAGTTACACAATTGGAATATCCCAGTATAGATGCTAACAACTGAACAATACAGTACTATATTTACTTCAAAGGACTGTTTTCCTATCCATTAAAATGGAGCTGTCTTATATTCATTAAAAATATGGATAACAAAGGTAATTTTCTCTGTCCCATTTTCCTTTAATGAAAGGGACTGCCTAAAATCTGGGACAGTTCTTTATAATATTAATAGTTCTTGCTCTTTCAGCAAAAAGTCACAAAGTAAAAATCAAAACTGGCTTAGTTGTATTTTCATCAGAATAAAGATTATTTTGCACCTGTACTATAATACTGTAGAAATTGGTAGCTTTTTCACCTTCTGATACTCCAAACCTTACACAGAAATATCTCCCAAATTTCAGAGCCCTGGATGCAAATTGAAGCAAACATATTAACACTCCCTTTACATTATTTCATTTTTCATAAAGAATGTAGAGTGAGGAGAGAAACAGAAACTACTTGTTTACTTTCACCATGATACTTAATGAAACACTTTATCAATGCAGGAAATACTTATTGGAACTAGTAATGGTCACCTAATCACTCAGGATAAATATACACAAAAGAATCCAGTAGTATAATTATTTATTACTGAAATCACATTCATATCCTAATTCATATTAAACTTTAATCACATTCATATCAGATATTTCTTAAACTTTAACCTACATCACCAGTCTCTCAACAACACACATCCACTCCTACCATTAGATGACAAGTAGAACGGGACTGACCCAAATTCTGTTCATAAAATCATATATTAGGATTCAAAAAAAAGCACTGTATTTACTTCTTGGAATATTATATAGATTCACTTATTGTGATTTAATAAAACATGTTTAAACAGTGACGCAGCATAATGGGAGAATCCAGTATGTATTTCTATTATTGGGAGTAATAAGAAAATATCTGGCATTATGCGCAATGCAGGACTCTGTTTATTAATTTGTAAGCTGCTGGTGTCTTACCTTCAGATGTCTTGCAACTTACAAAAAGGGACTTCAGGCCACACATTCAAAACCACTGATATTGGGAAAAGGAGGTATCAAAGCATTGAACTAATTATATTAAGATTAATTAGTAGAACTGCTCTGGTGTTTTGCTTATCTATGAGGGGGGGGGGTGGTGATTGAGGAAAATATAGAGGTCAACTGGTTTTTTCTACAAGTGTTAATAATGTTACAGTATTTTGGGGAGTCAATCACATAAATGGGAACTTGCAAAGATTTGCTAGAACAAAAGGCGCAAGAAATTGTTATAAAATAACAAAGACAGCAAGAGATATGTTAATGCACAACACAATTTGAATATTAATCTAGAAGCAATTTTTCCATTTAAGGAAAATAACTTTTCTATTTCAAAATAATATTTTAATTCATCCCACACAATACAATAGCTTACTAAATTTAGGTATCTCTCATTTTGAAAATAAATCCATCTCTACCAGCAGCTTTTTAGAATATATCAGTCTCTGAAAAAAGAATATTAGATATTATGTATTAATATAGAAGGGCAATATATTTTTTATAATACAAATAATGAATCTGACACATCTAAGCAGAATTGTATAAATTAGTTTTTAGATAAACTTGTTATTGCCCAGAAGGGAAATTCTGTAGCCAGAATATCTTCATTTTAATCACAATGTATTTCACTAATACCACTGAGCAAACTAGGTATATTGACTGATAAATAATCCTTCTATGCTTAATAATAATCTTATCCCCTAACAAATGGATTGCAGTTTAAGGGAATGAGTAGAAGGACTAAAAAACAAAAGTGTTATTTTACATATATTTGTTACCTTTGTAAGTAAATCTACCCTGCCCTCTCATTCTAGCTTCTATAATGTGTGTGTGTGTGTATTTGACATACATACACTAATCTATTTAATTAATATAAATTAAAACCGTCCAAAGTTACTTGTTTTGTGAGATGGGTGGCTATATAAATTTGACAACTAAATAAATAAAACCAAAATATTAAACTGTAAATATGGTTATAAATTCAACAAGACTGCTTTAGTAGTATTCTAGAAAGTTAAATTATTACTAAAATGGGAAAATATTGCTATAGCTTCATGATTAGATTACAATACAATCTCACTAAATTCACTTTTCATAAATTATAAAGGCCAAAAACAATCCTGGTTCTTATTCTAGAAAATACCTAGTGGTTGTAGGAGATACATAACAGATTACCAAAACATTTCATTTGAAAAATGAAAAGAAAAGAAAAAACAAAACCAGAGTGTATAGAAAACTGAAAGATGGGTTAACTTTTAAATGGGAAACCTAAAGATAAGTGTTTCAGACTGGCACAATTTGAAATCTAACTAGCAGTTTACTGCCTACAAATCACCAGCTGAGTACAAAAGTTCAGCTACAGAGTAAGTACCACTTTGAGAAAAGGTTAACGCCAGCAGTAACCTGTTTATCCAAGTATTGAACAAATGCTAATCTCAAATTGACGTTGAATCCAACTATCTTCAAATATATTTTTCCTGCAAGAATTTGGTCATAATTATCTTTAGTTTGATAGCCTACTCTAAACATTCAAAGTGCTTGACACACATAAACACCCAGAAACTAAACAATAGTATACCTTTCACTATGGCTTCCCAACTTAATTGATCCCAAAGTCCAGCCAAACAAGTAGATTTTAGAACCATTCTAAATGATTCTCAGTACCGGCAGTTTGCAGCTGAAAAGAAATTCATAACAGGAGAACCAATAAAATGTGCTCTTGCTCACCAAGCTGGAGAAAAAGATAGTATCATTCAGAAGATGCCATCCGTGATTTCTAGTTAACATAACAAGATACAAGAGAATATGTGATAAAATTCATATAAACCACACAGACCAAACTAATTTTTAATAATGTTCATGATTGCAGAGCAGGCCAGCTTCCTCTCCCAAAAATCAAGTGCACTGTATAACTAAGTCAGATGATTTGGACACCTGAGGAAGGAAATATCCCTGGCAGTAAAAAGACACCACTAATAAATTAAAGAAATAATAGTTTACAGTGTTTTCGTGACAACCAGATTCAGATAATTAAGCAACCATCTCTCTCTCTCTACAGCTGGTTAGAGACAATCATGTCAGTAGAGTGGTGATGTGCTAGGCTAGCAGTGGAAAATACTAACAATGTTTTAAACAGAACGTTGGGATGTTAAAAACAAACTCAGTGACAACACCAATGTATGTTAGTATATATAAATTACTGAAAGACATTTCACAAAATTTGTAGAAAAAAATCTACCTAAAATATTAACATAGTATAAAACTTATTGTATTGGATGAGTTGTTTAGTTTTAACTTTCATGTACCGTATAGATACATTGAGGATCCATAACAATTCCCAATCATGTATATGAGCACAATGAGAAAAAGCCAACATTAACCAACATTATTGACCTAAAATTTTAACTCAAATCTGTATATAAGCATTCACCATGTAAGATCTCTGTATCACACATCTACCAAAGTTTTTACTATATAAAACAAAGGCTGTATTATTGAGACTAGTGAATAGTTAACAAATAGTTGTTAAAGGAAACAAACGTTGCTATTCAAGGAAAAATAACCTGAGATGTAAAACTAGTTGCCAATAATAATACATTCAAGTTTAAGATAAACATCAGATAAGTAAAAGTTCATACATGGCATGATACACATACCAGGCATACATTTCTATTGAAAAAGAATACTTGTTATTTATTATTTTAGCCTATACAGTTGGATACAATCTGGGCTATAAATTCCTCTTGTTTCTTGAGATATTAGCAGTCATAGGTGCATGTATATTAAGCACATAAGACAGATGATGAGTCCAAGTTGGAGACATAATTCAAGGTAATATCTGAATACATACTGGACAGCGAAAAACCTAAACTGTTCCTTAAACTACCGTACATTCAGCAACATACATATAAACATAAATTATGGGAGCTGTAGATTAAAGTTTATGAATACAAAGAAAATATGTGAAAGCAAAACAATCAGTTTACTATTGTGAACTATACCATATAAACACCAAATGTTAAGAACAGAATTTAATACCCCCAGAACTTCATCTTTCATTGTAATAATCAAGTACCTTCCATACTTCTGAAGCTCTTTTTCACATTTTCCTTCCCCACTCCCTTCACCAGCCACCATCATCCCACCTTTTTTGAATTCCTCAAGCATGGCATCAAGCTTGGTGTCATTGAAGACAAAGTGCAGTGGGTGGTTATAGAAACGTGTGATGGTCTTGAGTGGAGTGCAATCATCAGGATCCACAAAAGCTAAGTCTTTGACAAAAAGAAGGTCCACAATATTAGAGCGGTCTCCTTCAAAAACCGGGATACGTGTATATCCACTCTCCATGATTTCAGACATAGTGTTGAAATCAAGTACAGCTTCAGCAGTAATCATGAAGCAATCCCGGAGAGGAGTCATTACATCCTCCACAGTTTTGGTGCGCAATTCCAGCGCTCCTTGAATTATATTCAATTCTTCTTTGACCAAATCATTGTAAGGATCAGTGACTCTTAACATTTCAAGTAGCTTTTCACGGTTATAGACAGTACCAATCTCTTGCCCTAAAACACAGTCCAGCAGTTTGCTGACTGGATAAGAGGCTGGAAAGGTCATCATCATAAAGAACTTCGTAAGGAAGATGGTGTTGGCACCCACAGCCAGACCATGCCGGGAACAAATAGCCTGTGGCACAATCTCACCAAAAATGACAATACCAATGGTGGATACTACCACTGCCACTAGTCCAGAACCTGCAATGTCATCGAGCAGTATGGTAAGGGTAGTATTGACCAATACATTACCCAAAAGCAAAGAACAGAGCAAGTAGTTGCCCTGGCGACGCACAGGCTCAATGCGCTTAGCATAGTTTTTTTCTTTTTCTGTCCCACAATTCTGCACAATACGCAACTCCATAGGATCAAGAGCCATAAGTCCCAGGTTGAGACCACTGAACATGCCCGAAAGACACAACAGGAGGGAGATGAAGATCACCTGAAGCCAGAAGGGTAACAAGAATTTCTTCTCCTCACCTACAATCATCTTGGTGTCCTCACCATCATGATAGATCCAGGTTGTCTCAGTCCAGGGCCCTCCATCAGGACCAATCATGCCACCTCCACCACCAGAGCTCCCAGCCACACTCCCCGCCCCTCCTAGGATAGCAGGGGAAGACACAGAGGTACACAAGTAGTAGGACTTGCTTTTTTCGGTTTTGCGCAACGGCTTGATATCGATCTCGATAATCCCCGAGGTACGACGGTTGAGGGTGATATGCGGGAGGATGATGATATCCGAGGTCCGGATGCCGCAACGCTGCGGGGCCGACGACACGGAACTCACGGGGACCGGGCCGTCTTCTTGCTCAGCTGGCGGCCGCCTGCCTTCCCCTTCCCTCCACCGGTCATGCTCAGTGAACGCGATGCGGGACCAGGTCTCGTTATTGATATTCTGCCCGTAGACCCGCAGTTTGACACGAGTTCTCTCGCTCACCCGGAGCACTCCCTTTTCCATAAAGGACACATCGTCCGTGTCCTCCAGCCGTAACCCTATTATCACCGTTTCCTCAGAATCAGATGCCCCGGGCAACAAGGAGGAGGAAGAGGAGGAGGAGGAAGAGGAAGAGGCGGCGGCGGCGCGAGCGGGCTGCTCTCCCAGGCACCGGCTAAGGAGAATCCCTAGCAGCAGCAGCGGCAGCAGCAGCGGCGGCGACCGCGGTAGCATCCGCGTCTCCCTTTCGCCGCCTCCCCCCGGCCCTGCCATGAGCCTGGGAGCAACCGTGGGTAGCGGCGCGGCCGTATTCCAGTAGAAAAAGGTCAGTGGTAACCCGGCCACATTAAACTGAGCGACCTCATTGTGCCAGCGCTCAACGAAGACAGCAAGTAGCGAAGTCCTCGACGGATGACAAGCGACTGCCGGGCCTGGGCCAGGAGCTGCTCCAACCCCTACCCCGAAGGGGACGGGGAGGGGGGGGGGAAGAGACCCGCGCGTGCGCATCGACCAATGAGGTGAATACAAGCGAGGCAACGGAGGGTGCAGATAAAGAGCAGTCGTCCAATCAGGTCGCTCATGAATACAGGGTGGGGACGAGGGCTAGCCGGCCGGTAGGTCGGCCTTCCACTTTTTTCGTGGTTGGGGGCGGGTGAGGAGAGAAGTGCCTGCGCTACACATTGAAGCGCAGGGGGGGGGGAGATTTTTTTTTTTGTCTAGCGAGACCGGCAAGGAGAATCGGTTTATCCTGGGCTTCTTCCCAGAATCCACGAGTTTTATGGAACCGATGTTATCCCTGCCTACGTTGTTGATCATTACCCCGCGATATAGCTCGAGGGGGAGGGATCTCTCTCTCGGCCTTCTTTCCTGTTAAAAGAGCGCGTGATACTTGTGTGTATCTGAGTTTTAACAGGAGTGAACAAAACGCCAATCGGAAGGGAAGACGACGGAGATTGGTGAAGAGATCAGCCAATGGGACGGAGAGTTTACTTCCGGAACCGGGCCTCCTTGCGCTCTTAACCGCGAAGCGAACTCCGCTTGAAGATGAACTGTGGTTTAGGCGGCTGGTTTCTCGCCGCTAGCCAGTGTTTCTCAACCTTGACAATTTTAAGGCATGTGGACTTCAACTCCCAGAATTCCACAGCCAGCATTGCTGGCTGTGGAATTCTGGGAGTTGAAGTCCACATGCCTTAAAATTGTCAAGGTTGAGAAACACTGCGCTAGACTATGTTTGTGCGTGCAATTTTCCCCTCCCCTTCGTTTTCCATCCGAATTTTCCTGGCGGCGTTTTACTCGCGAGAAATACTCTCTTACGGCTCTTCTTTTTTTTCAGCAGAAAAGGGCCAGCACGAGTTGTGCTGCCCGACAGCCAAAAACCTAATACGCCTGAGTTGGGAAGGTTGCTAATTGACCTGTCCTTTAGCTTTAATTATAGGACAGTTCAAAGGCAGCGGCTGATGGATTCCCAGGGTTTCACTTCGTTTACTGCCCAGCTTCAAGCTCCATGCCAGGAGACTAGAGCAGTGGTTCTCAACCTGTGGGTCGGGACCCCATTTGGGGTCGATCGACCATTTCACGGGAGTCGCCAAGCAAGGCTGTCCGCCATTTTTTCCCCTTTTCTGGCGGATGCCTTACCTCCCTTGGGCTGGGCCAGCCGGTGGTCAGCCTGCTCCGTCTCTGCCGCTTGCCAGCTATGCCTCGGCCGGCGCAGGGGCAGAACCACGCATGCGCAGCGCTCCCGGGCAGGGAAAGTCCTCGACTTACGACCGGTTGGGTAGTCCTTGACTTACGACTGGTTTAGTCCTCGACTTACAACCGGTTTAGTCCTCGACTTACGACCGGTTTAATCCTCGACTTACGACCGGTTGGGGTCGCGACATTAAAAAGGTTGAGAACCACTGGACTAGAGCTATTTCTGTCTCCAAGAAGCCAGTTTGTCCATGGTCTTTTGTCCCCAAAGAGCCAAATCTATCAGGGAGAGGACCAGTGGAAGGAAGAAGCGCGTTTGGCCCACTGAGAGTGTCCCTGTCTAGTTATTCGCAGTCCCATCTCCTGCGTTGTTGGATAGAGTTTACTAGAATTCAGGACCTTGGTAGACCCATGTTAGCAATGACTCTTCAAATGACTGAGTTCTAATGACTGACCATTCTTAGACAAGGAGGGATTATGAGGAGCACTGGGAAGGGGGAGCTTTCTCCAACCTTATTCTGCACTCCTGGGCTGAACTGTGATCTATCACCTAGGCTAGAAGGAAAAACTGGCAGGACTCAAAAGTCAATTTTATTCCATCTTCCCAATTTTGAAAATAACTGCTACAAAAGAATGGAAATTGGTGTCTGGTTCTGCAATAGCCAGATACATTTCATGGAATACACAAAATGACACTGTTCTAACTGCCCCAAAGTAAGCAGAAGCATTAAAAGCATACAATGCCCTTATTTTGGATAGAACCAGAAAAGTACAGCTGATAAAACATGACTCTTATTGCTAGTTTAAACCAACGATTTATGCAAACAGCACTAGTTTTTTTAAACAGTACTACTGTTTCAAAATGCATGAAAAGGATGTGTCCATTGCAGCTGAAAGTGGCCAATGATATAAGAGCAGATCCACCTAGCCCTTACTCTGTTATTGCAACATAGTGAAACACTGTAGAACGTATGTTCTGCAAAAAGAAATGCATTGGAAGAGGAAAGATACTACTTTAAACCTAGAACTGTCTCCAAATGAGAAGGCCTCTTTCATGAAGACATGTCCTTCAAAACAATTTGTCTTTATGTCTCAGAAGGACAGCAGGGTGAGCTCTTTGACTAAGTTCACATTAAGCTGATTTATAAACCATAGTTTATAAATCAAATAGCATTCATAAAACACCCTAAGAGAAAACCAAACCACACATCATTACTTATTACTGCGTGATAAATTTGTATTTTGAAATATGGACTTCAATGGATTTTGTTGGGAGCCGCAGATTACAACAAGGTCAGCTGCGAAGTCCTGCTGAGACCCAAGTCACTGTCTGGAATAGGAGGATAACAGAAGTTTTAAAAAGGCCACCTCTCCTGACCCATGGACCTTGTTATGCCTCATGATATATTGAGGTATTGAGAGAAATTAAATATATAGAGCAATGGCCCCCAACATTTTGGACACCAGGGACTAGTTCTGTGAAGAGATGTTTGCCCATGGACTGGAGGGGGCATGGTTGCGCATGCTGCCTGCATCCCACGGATGGAGCTTCACTTGTTTGCGTGGCCCAGTTTCTGGCATGCTGCTACCAGATGCCGGTCTACAGACTGGGGTTTGGGGACCCCTGATCTAGAGCACTACTGGCAGGAGATAGAGAACAAACTTGACTGAATATGGGTAAGAGCTACTATTAAGGCCCACCTCATGATTATTCATGTGGCAAATTGGAATTACTTTGCAGAAATTGCATCTGTGAATTACTTAGCAACCCTCTGTAAGATAACCTGGTTCCTTCTGGGTAAGGAAGACTCAAATGTCTATCTGCAGTGGCACATTGAGGAATTGCTGATTTTCTAGAAGATAAAGCCACTCCGATTCATTTCTTGTTGGATACTAGTTTGGACACTGGTCCGGGGAGATGCCTAAGTCCTTGTCCAGGTATCTGGCAATGGTTTCCCCTGTTGCTCCTAAGGAAGTGGGCAGGATTTTAGGGAATGTGAGCTCAGCCATCTGTTTTAGACCCACATCTCCCAGACTGGTAAAAGTCTCCTGGCAGGTGATGCATGGGTAGTCAATGCATCTTTAGATGAGTGGGTGTGTGATGCCCCAGTCCTTTAAGGAAGCTGTGCTTGAGCCCTTCTTAAGAAGGCATTGCTAGATCCCATCCTAATGGACAATTTTTGTCCTGTCTCCAATCTTTCTTTTCTGGGGAAGGTTGTTGAGAAGGTGGTCATGCTACAGCTCCAGAGAATCCTGGGTGAAATAGATTATCTGGACTCTTCAGACAGAGTTTAGGCCTGGTTACAGGGCAAAAATTGTATTGGTTATGCTTTTTGTAGATGTAGTGTGTCCACCCTTGTTCTACTTACCGGTAACTTCTCCATGGCCTTTGATATCATTGACTATGGTATCCTGGAATGATCCCAGGATTGGGAGTTGGGGGCACTGTGTTGTCCTGGTTCATTTTCTTCTTCCAAGGCCATTTATTTAGCCATCTCTCAAAATATGCCTATCAGCTTTGCCTCCTTTTTTGCTTCTTTCTGTGCAAGCTCACAACAAACATGCCCAGTAACAAGAGTTTTTATGGCATTACCATTTTGTGTAAGTCTCATCAGCTTAAAAACAACACAATGTCCCTTATAAATGATTTGGCGTGTGGCAAATGTGTGGTTTTAAAAAGATCCCAGTTCAAAACTGCTTTTATTTGCCACAGCATTTTAAGTGGTGCAGTTTGGGTTGCTCTGTTCTGGTTTTTATTTATTACTTTATTGGATTTGTCTTATGTAAATTTTATTCTGGACATATTTACTTTACACTGCTCTACTATCCACATGGATAAACACTATTAAAACATATTTAAGACTAGGATATAAATATTCAGGGATTTTAAAAATATTTCCTTGTGAAATTCATTTGATAAAATTTATATGTTTTTCGAACACTCAGATTATTTTGTAGTCTGTACGTTAAACAAGCAGCCTGTTCTAATTTATGAAAAGCCATAATGAGTTTTGTTTCTTTTTAGCTTATAATATAATATAAACCTGGTCATGGAAGTTTACAAACTGTGGCTCATAGTTTAGTACCTGTGTGAACAAGTCATTTGTGGTTTATACAATAAACTATATTTAAACAATGCATGTTTTTGCATACATGTGAAGTAGATCTGAACACGGAACATCTTGTTTATAAGAAAATTCTTCAAATAGAATATTCTTGCAGTGCACAATTCAAGCATGAATCTCATAATGGCAGCCAAGATTCCAGCATGGATAAAATTAAATCAAACATACATTGAAAATGAAATTCTGGAAGTTCTTCCATATGTTTTGAGTGAATTTTGTGGGGATTTCCACTAATAACATAGAACTTGTATGCTACAGATATTCTTTTAAACTGCACATGTAATCTATTAGACTCATGGTCTCCCAATTTCTGCCTTACCCACTACATCAAACGCTTTCAAAAGGTATATAAATATTTTATCATATCTTAATTATTGTGCTTTTTGTGAGGTGGGCAGCTGTACAAATTTGGTTGAATAAAAGAATAAATTAATGAATGAATGAATGTCTATTCTGGAT